CTCAAAGTTTTGCCCTATGTGGTAGATGCTGCAGGACTGAGCCCATGCCGACGGCCTCGGTTGTGGTGGTTTGACTTCCCTGTTGAAGGTGAGGACAATGTGTGCATCCAATTGCCTCATTCATCAAAGCCTCACGAATATGGTCGAATCTCCTTCCAGGTAGATGTAGAGGTTTGTCACTACCTGGAGCCGGGGTGGGAACCCGTGTCTGGCAAGGACCATCGTTTCCCCACCTTGACAACCAGTATTCCCAAATGCCAACCAGGTTTTAGACCTGCGGGGATTAGCCAATGCACAGCGGATGAGCTCCTGGTGTGGGAGAAGGACCGCTACAGATTTCCTCCATACCAATATCGTGTCATTCATGGATTGAAGCATCGCAAGTTTGGGTGGAGAATCCTCAGCACTCGTGAGAGAGAGACATGCATGGGTTTCCCATTGGATTACACAGCAGAGTGCATTCCAAAAGGTGAAAGAAAATCTAACCCATTGCTGTTGGATGACACTCGATGCAGTTTGCTGGGAAACTCCTGGTCTGTAGGAGTCACCGCGTTCCTGTTGATGTCTCTTTTGCGCCCTTTCAACTTGTGTGCCCGCCTCAGCGTTGTGCAATTGGAAGAGCGATTGAGGCCCGGCGCTTCGCCAGACCTAGTGGGTTTTCTGCAGCGCCCTCACTGGGAACGACCGTGAATGGGCAAAGCCACAGACCTTTCCATATCCTTGGTGAAAAAGCTCTCTACTTTGGTGTCACAAGAGGGAGCCGACCTGCTCCTGAGCCAGGAACACGACAGCTTGCCCCAGCATCAACGCCTGAGAGTGGGATTGGATCCGCGCCTGTGGAAGTGGAAAACGGTGTGTCACTGGCAGTGGAAACGGGTGACAGGTATGCTTCCAGAGCATATAAATAAGTTGGAATTGCGTGCACTGTTGTCATCAGTGAAATGGAGAGTTTGCCGTTTGCATCGGGCGCCTGTTCGTTTTGTGCATTTGGTTGATAGCCTAGTCGTGCTACAGGCCTCCTCGAAGGGACGGTCCAGTTCGCGTAAGTTGCGCCGAGTGATGCAACGATTGTCAGCTTGGCTCTTGGTAAGTGGCTCCATCATGATCCTAGGATACGTATCGACGCACCTGAACCCCGCAGACGAACCCAGTCGCAGGAGGTCCAAACGCAAATGGTCAAGCGTTGCGTAGTGGATTCCCCTAAGGAAAAGGTGCGTAAGGAGCGTCGGCAAAAACTAGGAACTTTGAAGAGCCTCATAATCAAGCCAGCCACAAAAGTCCGATATGATCGTGCTTTTGCTTCATTCTTGCAGTATCAGAGGAACCACCGCTTAGCGCTTGCTAAATCCAATCCTGAATTAGATGTTCAACTGTCGGACTATCTTGAGCATCTATGGGAAGAAGGTGAAAGCCGCTACTTGGCCGCTGATACTTTATCAGGTGTGCAGCATTTGCAACCCTCGGTAAAGGGGCACATACCACAGGCCTGGCGCCTGCTGAAGGCTTGGGCCCAGAATGAATTGCCTGCACGGCCTCCGCCCTTCACAAAAGAACAAGTTGAGGTCTTGTGTGGATGTACTTTAACCACCCCTTGGATGCCTCTTGCCCTCTTGACAGGTTTTTGGGGCTTGCTGCGCACTGGTGAGCTTCTAAAAATACAAGCCTGCCATGTGATCCCCTCAGGGGCACATGTACTAATTCATTTGGGTGAGACAAAAATGACATCTCGCAATGCCGGTGTGGAAAACGTGTACATTCATCATATCTACACGGCTCAACTGTTGCAGGCATGGGCCTCCGTAGCCAAGCCACATGATTATCTTGTGCCTGTGTCGCAATACCAGTTCAGGTTGTCCTTCAGCCAAGCCATCCAAAAGTGCCAATTCACGGGGTTCAAGCCTTACTCCTTGAGAAGGGGAGGTGCTACCGCCTTGTATATTGACACTAAAAGCTACACTCAAGTGTGCCAGCAGGGGCGATGGGCTTCAGAAAGAACTGCCCGCATTTATATCTCCGATGGAGTTGCACTTCTAACCGAGCACTCGTGGGTCATGTCACGTAAGCAAAGGTGTTTTCAGACCATGTGGTTCAATAAACTTAAAGCACTTGAGCTACCGATATATCGGAGAGCAGGGGAACGTGGAAAGGCATTCTCCAAGTCGCCGATGATGGTTAGCTCTAATGCTACCCACTTTTTTGCACCAAGGACGTGATTCCGCCTTGCTTCCGAAAGTGATGCCGACTTGGATTGGTTGGATGCCAAAGCAACCCCGAAACTTTCCGGACTAGTTTCTCTGTTTTGTACAAACTACTTGCTGGAGTGAAAAAAGGGAGGGAAGGCCGAGCGTGATTCCTTGACATACGGTTCGAAGTTTAGGAATCCGCCGCGCCGCTCCTCCCTTTTGCTCGTAGTGCTTCCGTCTTAGGCCCGCCCGCCCGTCCCAGGGGTTGCACGGAAAGGCATTCTCCAAGTCGCCGATGATGGTTAGCTCTAATGCTACCCACTTTTTTGCACCAAGGACGTGATTCCGCCTTGCTTCCGAAAGTGATGCCGACTTGGATTGGTTGGATGCCAAAGCAACCCCGAAACTTTCCGGACTAGTTTCTCTGTTTTGTACAAACTACTTGCTGGAGTGAAAAAAGGGAGGGAAGGCCGAGCGTGATTCCTTTTTTTTTGAAGGTCAACCGGGGATCGCAATTCGGAGTGAACCCCCGGCCAAACAATCGGGCTCGCTTCCTGGAGTTCCTTCTTTCTGCCACAGAGGACCCCCCCACCCGGGCGCGCAACGGGCACCGGCGGGCATGGAGGCTGCTTTGCTCGAGAGGACAAGGGAGATGAAACCGAGTCCTCGATTGGGTCAAATCAAGACAGATGCCTGGCCAACTATGAGCTCTTTGGGACCCGTATCTGCGCAGCTTTGATCTGCGACCTTGGGGACCATCCTATAGAGAGCCCTTGTTTCGGGCTGTTGACTTATTATAGCACGGAAGGAAACTGCTTTGGCGCATCCAAGCGTGAGGAACGACAGGCCCGGGGGGCTGCTGGTTGGAGGCCCAGATGCCAGGGTTGTATGATCAGGCTTGGCTTTTTGATTGCAGCAAGGTAGCTTGGGCCTTCGCGTTGAAGTCTACGTTGGAAGGACCAAAATGGAGCCTTGACCATGACCCCTGTGCTGAATGGATGCTTCGGAAGCTGGGGCTTTGAGTCCGATTTCCATCGGATCAGGGTTGCTCCTTCGGCCAGATGACCAAGCCAGCTTTTTGTATCTAAGATGGTTTCCACTACGGGGGTAGTGGAAACAGTGAAAACCATCTTAGGTAGGACATTGGTATTGGTTGACTCTTTCTGGGGGGGTTTTCAAAGTCAGACCATGGAATCGGTTGCTTCCCTGCCCACTTGGGGGGTGACTTTGATCAGGGTAAGGTCACTTGGGGTCCTGCTTTCGGTGGGCTCCAAGAAATTGGCATCTGGTGCTGCAACTTAACAAGCTCGGAAAAGGCCCAGGTATTTTTTGAGGGTGTTTAGACCCATGAAACCCAGAAAAGACCCATTTGGGCGTGTATTTTTTGAGGGTCCCCCTTTCTGGCATGTGTTTTTTTAACGGGACACCAACAGTCAACCGCCCGTTTTGTGGGTTTCCCTTAGTTAAGAGACAAGCCCATTTGCAGCGGAGCGTCTTTTTGGGACCCCTTTGTTTTGGGGTTGCGAATTTGTAGGGCTCAAAATCTGAATTCGCCCACCACGCAAATACTTAGGTGGCTTGGAGGATGTGTTGCACTCGTGTTTGCTGGTTTGATTACGTACTCTATATTTCGCTTTGTCGCCTTTGCTTTGGTGTGTTTCGGCTTTCAGTTTTTGCCTCTTGTTCTCAGCTTGGCTTCGAGCCCATGGGACGTGCGCTGCGCGCCTTGGCGTGGGTTGATTCGCCGCGACTCTGTGGTGAGCGGCTGAGGCTCGCTTGACCACGCGGCAGCTGCAGTTGGGGCTCCCGGGCGGGGCAATCCCGAAATGGGGGGGAGGGGTGCTCAAATGGCGCTTTGCGTTGCTTTTGATCGGGCAACCAAATGGACACCGTGGCCATTCTGGTGGTCCCCCTTTTGGCGAAGCACCCAAATGAAGGCACCAATCTGGGCGTTTGCAAGGAAATCAACTGATTCGGTCGCTTTCAGGAGCCGTTTTTTGACTGAACCGAACAATTGAGCAGCACCCAACATCGATTCCTATTTGGGATTTTTCGTAGCTACTTCTACTACCCAGGTTTCCCAGCGAGCTCGTGTAAGGCCAAGAGATGTGTGGAGTCAAAACTTGGTTTTCAACCCTTTGCTCAATGGAGAAGCCATCCGAGGCAAAGGGTCCAATGGTTGGAGGCGACCGACCGAGGGCGCTTGCAGGTTCATTTGTCCAGAATGCGGTGCCGAGGAGGACTGCCGCAGGGCGACCATTGCTGCGAATCTCTCCGCAGCTTACTCCGCAAAGTGACGTGAACCCCAATAGGTGGTCAAAAAAGTGGCAGTTCAAGCTAGGTATTCATGAAGACCTCCGAATTCAAGGATGTTGGCGGTTGAACGTGGCTCTTGTTGACACGCGCACGTTTGGTTCTGTTTATTTTTGGGTGCGCAAGTTTCAGGCATTTTTTTTAATACTCATATATATATATATATGCTTAATTAAAAACATAAATGAACAACAAGAAACAGGGAATCGAGAAAGATGGCTGCCAGAATCCGCAATATACCGTGCTTGGTTGGGAGTAAAGGCTGAGTTGGAGGGTTCTTTGAAAGGGGGCACTGGATAACAGATTCCAAGGACAAGCCTGATTTCGTTCATACCCAGGATTCCCCAAAAACCTGAAAGCTCTTGGAGGCTTCGGTTTGGCAATCAGACCCTCGGCCCCTCCTATGTACTGTATGGGGGAAGGAACTCGAGTGGTTTTCCCCCGTGCGCAGCATTCAGCCCAAGACATTTGCGGAGAAGTTGCGCGAGCAGCGACGTTGTCGCCATGTCGTTGTTCATGCCCACCGCGTCTGGGGCCCCAGACTCGAGTTGGGCTGCCGGGTCGGTCAGCCCAATTTTCTCCAACGTTGTCCATGTGGGTCTGGGACTCATGTGGAGAGAGATTGCGCTGATGGTATTTCGTGCTGTCCTGCTTGTGCACTGATTTGCGGGGGCGGGAAACAGGGATTCCAGATTTCTCATTGCAGCCTTCCAAGTTTCAACATGACATGGTGGTTGCCATTTCAAGCTAGTGTCATTATTTGTTGCGGGGTGATGGTTAGAGTTGAAATGCGGGAAATTTTTGTACAAGATGCGTGTGTGACGCGGGTCATTCGTGGCGCTGCCGGGCCTTGTAGTCTGGCTGATCGTGCACTACGTGTGCCGCTTCGTCTTCATGGCTTCTAGCATTCTATTTGAGCATGAACCTTAACAACCAGTTTAGAACCGAAAGTCATTGGGCAAAACAGGACTGTTTATTTCTGTTCCAACAAGTCTTTTCCCGCGCCCAAGGACTGTGAAGGGCCAAAGTACTAGCATTTACCGTCAAGTGTCGTGGAAAGGGCACCCAAAGAGACCCACCCCTGTAAACCGTCGGATCAACTCTGAGCTGAATGATAGAAGCACGCCTCTTCTTTTTGGGAGGGACCCATCAGCTGAGATTCCAGAGTTGTCATCCTGTCCCGTTTCCGCAAACGCGTTTGATGTGGCGAATCTGTGCATGCACCCCTGGAGAAACAGTACCATGGGGAACCGGGGAATTTGTGCGAAAAGCACAAATGTGTCTTGAGTCAACTCCATCCCCTGGCCCCTGGAACAAAAACAGCACACACACACACACACTTTTTTCCGCAGGTTCTCTTCCCCTCAGACTTGAGGGTGCCATCCTTTTTTTGCGCGCCTCTTTCGGGCGCAGCGCAGGTTCACCCCCATCGAGTCCTCCATCGGGGGCTTCCTGGTGGGCCTCAGCGCCTTCATGGCCTACGCGGTGGACGGGAAGATCACCGGGATCTCCGGGCCGTGTCCTCGGAGCGGAGAGCGGAAAAGCGGGCCGAGGTGAGCGAGCCACGTGCCCAAAAAGCCGAGTCGGGTAGATGATCCGGTCAGTAAAGGAGAATCCCCTTGCCAGAAATAGCTGCGGATATCCGCCTTCTTGATTCTTTACATGGTTCTGGGTAGACCATTTTCATATCGGGACAGAGCCGGACACCACAGGCCCCTTTTTTGGGAGCCTGAGTTGCTTAGTTGGGGGGCAAAAATAGGCAATCGAAAGAGGGACCCAGTGGGAAGAGCCTGGTCAGGAAAAGTAGAGGTTTATTTCCAAGATAGACCCCCAGCGTGGGACCCCCAAGCCCCTCTCTTTGTAGGTTCGATGAGGGAATCTTTGAAAGGAAGGACTTAGCCCATCTTTTTCAATGTCTCTTTTGCCTGCATTCTTCCTTGCCAGCACAACATGTTCACGAGAGTAACGAGCTTCCAGTTGGTCACCGTCCTTTTTCCCCTTGGTGGGTTGCCCACAAATCCCAAGGGCAGGCTAGCCTTAGATGGCTTGGATTGGGGGTTGGAAACTTGAACCCCAGCGCCTTTGGAAACCACAGTGGGGAAGGTACCCCGGTACCCCCCTAACATCCAAACCGCGAAACCACACAACCTATTAGGGGAGGTGATGGGTTCCTTTTTTGGTACCCGGCTCTGGGCAACTGGGTCACTGTTGCTTTTGAGTAGTTTTGTTTCTTTCTGTGAGTTGCTTTGGTTGGCAAAGACCAAGGTGTTCACTACGACGCCAGGGGTTGGTAGGGGTTATATAGTGTGAAACATGCCATCATGTCATGGATTGGATCATCCTGCCACCAGGGCCCTTGAGCCGCTCGCCGGCTAGGACAAAACATAGAGTGCTCCCGCGCTCGATCATGGTAGCGGAGCAGGTGTGATCTGCTCATTGGGTGGTGCAATCAGTGCACTTTGAGCCGTGCAATCAGTGCACCGAGGCCTCGGGTCTCGAAGACCGGCGCTGCCGGTGAGGTGAACATCAAGATCACCAACCTCTGGTGGTGGCCATTTTGGCCACGTGTGGGTGGCCTGGCATTGCAGTTTGCCAGGCATGGACAACCGCGATCCCTTCAAGGACCTGACGTTTGATGGTCGCCCTGCAGGTTACCGTGACTTCAGGCGGAAGGTCATCCTTGGGGTCGCAGGTTTGGAAGACAAGGTTCAGCACCTTGCTGGGCCGCGCCTGCTTCAGCGACTGTCTGGCGAAGCATGGAGGGCCACGGAGCATCTCTCCATCTCCCAGATTCGCGAAGATGGTGGGTGGCTCAAAGTCTTGGAGGCTTTGGATGCCCACTACAAGTTTCTCCCGGAAACCGAGCTTCACGAGGCCATCGACGAGTTTCTCTTCTTGTTGAAACGCCGAGCTAACGAAGGAGCCACCGCATTCACGTCCAGGTTCCGGACTCAGCTGGAGCTGGCGCGTGTGGAATCCCTCATCACGCAGGAGAGAGCTCTGGCGCGCAAGCGCAAAAGGCAGCGCACTGGCAAGGAGCCAACTGATGATTCCAGTGTGGATGTGAGTGATGGATCACAACCTGGAGATCCACCACGTCCTCCCTCGCATGTTCCGTCCTTTCCGTCAAGGACGCCAACAGTGGTACAGGACACCGGAGATGCTCCTCGCGATCCTGGTGCAGCTGCATCCTCTCGAGAAAGAACTCCGAGCCCACATGATGAAAAAGCCAAGCCTCCGAGTATCACTTCATCAAGGCGAAGGGCACGAGAGTCTGATCTGGATAAGAAGCAACTGTCGGCCGGAACCTATGCCGAAGATCACGCACGTGCTCAGCGGAAGATGCAACGTCTCCTTGGGACTCTTGAAGAAGGTCACTTGAAGGCCAAGCCAATCTTTCCGCAGAGTGTTTGGGGGCATCTCTTCATGAGGAAGTATGGCCTCAGCAAGGAACAGCGTGCCCAAGTGATCCGTTCAACCCGTGGCAGTTCCAGATTTGATGATGTGCAGAAGATCATGCGAGCAAGCGATTTTGATGATCGCCGGGATGATCGCAAGCCCGACCGTGATCCTCATCGAGCACGCCGTCATCACGCTTTGGTAGTTGATGGATCTGGCAGTTCGGATCAATCAAGCTCTGAAGTATCTATGGATGTCAATATGGTTTCCGAAGATGAGTCAGCTGCAACGAACTCCGAACTGGAAGAAATATATGCAGTGCAGCGGCAAGCGAAAAAGGATTTCAAGCGTTCCTTCAAAACATACAAGGAATCACGCCGCAAGGTCAAGGAGATCAAAAAGCAACGTCAGCCGTATCTGCCCGTTGTTGCACTCCAGGACCAACATGATGGTCAGCCAGACGGCGGGCAAGCCTCTGCGCCGCCCAAGCCGACCTTCCACAAGCAACAGTGCTGTCAGAGTTTTCTTATATGGTGGAGAGCCCGACCGAGGACCTCATTGTGCCTGTAGTTGATGTGATGCTTGCACATGGTGAAGCAATTCTGGATACAGGGTGCACAACGTCCGTGGTTGGCACCAACACGGCAGCCAAGTATTGCGAGGTCATGATCAAGAGAGGCATCCCGCCTCCTGAGCCGGTTGAGCTTCCTCCTGTGGAGCTCCGTGGATTCGATGGTCAGAAGACTAGGTCCACAGCTGGTCTTCGTTGGACAGTACGCCTGGGTAAGTTGTGGGGCAACGTGACCACATACACAATTCCGGGTGACACGCCTTTCCTGCTGTCACGCAGAGTGCTCGAAGGCATGAAAGCCTCGATCGACCTCGGAAACATGACCATCACCAGCGAGAAGCACGGAATGCATCAGGAACCTCTGCGACAGGCCACCAATGGCCATCTGCTGCTTCCTCTCTGTGATGTGCATGTAGTATCAGTCAATCAGAAGTTGGTCGACCCGGAGCCAGCAGTTTCTGAGTGTGTCCGGGAAGGTGAGTCCAACACTGGACGTGATGTGACTTCCCAGCCAGGCAAACCGCGCTCTCCGTCAAGGCGCGATACTGCCCAAAAGCCATCAACCAGTGATCGGAGACGAGCTCTCCAGCACATTGCTAAAAACACTAAAAGTGGCCCGTGCAAGTTGATGTGCATCGTGATGAACTTGCAACCTTGTATGGTAAATCACTGGCCAATAATATCACTCGTGCCTTTGTTGCATATAACCCTAGGTTAGAGAGGATACCTTCAGAAGCCAGAGATAATGCTGTCAAAAGGTCAGTTGCAAGCCTCAACAAAGAGGGCGTACTCCATGTGTCGCCTTGGACCGAACGCCCCGCAGGTGCTCGACGTGCTGAGTGTGAACGGTCTCAGCTCGCTCTGTTCGTGTTTCAAGCCGTGTCGTCAAGGGATTCATGTTCAGAGGGCGAAGCTGCTGTGGCCATGTGTAGTGATCATTCTTCAAGTGAAATATCTAGTGAAACTGTAGGTGAAGATTGTAACTTGGCTGTCCAGGCACAGGATCATTCCAAGGTCTCATCAGGTCCCTCACTTGAGAGTTTGTATGAAGATCATGATTGGTCCACGGTAGACTTCAAGCCCCTGGCCGAAGAATCCATCCTGGCTATCCAGTGTGCCACGCATAAGCTTAGATGTGTGCATCTGCAGCTTGCCCTGAGGATGAGCGTACATCCGTGCTCAAGGATCTAAGACTATGGTTAGGCCACCAGGCACCCCTGATAGATCATTCTGTAAGTATGATAGAGGTGTTCACAGGTAAGGCCAACTTGTCAAGGGTAATGGAAGCCCAGTCAGGCATGCCGTGCATTCGCCTAGGCCTGGAATACGGTCAGGATTTTACCAAGCCCCGTGATAGGCAGCTCTTCATCCAGTTGATTGCTGTAGTGAAACCCACGCACGTTTGGTACTCATGGCCATGCAAGTGTTGGGGTCCTTGGTCCAGGCTTAACGCAGCCAAAACAGCAAGCATGGAGGAGAATATCCGCCTCGAGCGCCAGATTGCCCGCCGGTATCTGCAGATGGTGTCAGATGGTTGGTTGTTGCAAACCCAGCTAGGAGGACACTCACATGCAGAGAACCCTCAATCGTCACTAGCGTGGCAGGAAGTCCGTTTGGGTCCTGTTTATGATGTAGTCATAGATCAATGTGCTATGCACGTGGTGTGTCCCAAGACAAAGATGCCCGTGTTAAAGCCAACACGTCTTGTAACTACATCCATGCAGTTTGCTCAGACGCTGCTTCCACACAGGTGCCCCAAGCACCACACGCATGCACGCCTGGAAGGCACCTATAAAGGTAAGAATCTTACCAAGTATGCAGAGGAGTGTCCCACTCCCATGTGCCGCATTTTGGTAAAAGGCCTTTTGAGGAGCCAACCATCGCCTGTGCAGTGGCCAGTGCTGGCAATCGAGCATGAGCCAGAAGCCGATGCTCTCACCGAACCCGCTGATTCGGAGGGCGATTCAGAAACCGAAGCCCGATGGTGACACCCGCGAAAAACGTCGGCGTCAAGCACTCATCAGACGCCTGCACGTGAACACTGGTCATGCCAGTGTGGAGCAGATGCTCCGTCTCGCCAACCGATGTCAGGTCAGCCAGCAGTTGAAGAAGGAAATCCAGAAATTTAAGTGTCCAGTTCGTGAGGAACTCAAGGTGCCACCCTTGAGACGTAAGACTAGTGGTCTCACATACGGAAAAACCTAATGAAATTGTAGGTATGGATTGCGTTCAAGTGGAGCTCAAATGTGAGTCGCCGGATGGCTCCATCCGAGAAGAAAAGTTCAACGTGCTCACCTGTGTTGACCTGGCAACCGATTTCGCTCAGCAGATCATCCTGCCCAGTGGTCCGGACCAAGCAAAGGATGCACTTCATCAGGTATGGGTGCGACCGTATGGAGCCCCTAGCATTGTGTATGTTGATCCGGATGGGACTTGGATGAGTCGTAGTTTCCAGAGATACCTTCGTCATATGGGAATCCAGCTGCTCAGTTCAGCCACTGAAAGTCATTGGCAGCTTGGACGCGTAGAGATCGCCAATCGTGTTTTGCGTAACATGGCTCAAAGAGTCTGGAGAACCTCAAGTAGGCCGGCTCATGAAGTAATAGAAATGTGTGCCGCTACACGCAATGAAATGCTTCGCCGGTGTGGCTTCTCGCCGAGCAAGTGGTTCTTAGGCCGTGAGTCCAAGCATCCCGGTCTCCTAAGAGACATTGGCGAGCAATCCAACCTCGCCAGCCAGAGCCAAGTTCTGACTGAGCGAGACTTTGCTGAACGTGTCTGTGTCCAGGAGGAAGCAGCCAAAGCCTTCATTGAAGAACATGCCAAAGATACCTGGCGCAGAGCCATCGTAGGTAAAAGTAGGCCCATGCGCGGTCCATACACCGTTGGCCAACTTGTGTACATGTTCCGTAGGAGAAGTAGGGGACTGCTTTCCACTCGGCATGGAGTGTGGCTAGGCCCAGGCCGAATCATCGGGACGGAGAGTTTCTCTGACTCCGTCACGCCCCGTGTGCTTTGGGTTGCATGGTCCGGTTACCTCTATAAGTGTTCTGCTGAAACCTTGAGACCCGTACCAGAAGATGAGATGCAATTCAGGCACCTAGCCAAAGAACTCTGTGAAGGTCGGTTGCAACCCGACATAGAGGAAGCCGAGGCTACGCTTGATTCCAAGGCAGGCCAATACGTCGACCTTTATGAGGATGCTCCCGATGATGAAGACTTCCAACTCTCAGATGAAAATCAAGAAAACGATGATTCTGATGATATGCAGCCTCCCCCAAAGGCGCGTAGGCAAGTAGATAGGTCTGAAGCCTACTGGAAGTCCCGGAGTCACGGAGCCCCTCCTTTGGGTAGTATTCAGGAATTGCCTGAAAATATGGAAGAAGATCGTTGGGGTACCAAGCGTGTTGCAGAACCATCTCAGGAAGTGCAAGAACCACCGAATCAATCTCGAAGAATAGATACACAGGAGAGTCCCTCAGCTGAATATACTCCAAGTGTTGCACCTCCCGAAGATCAACCAATGGATGAGCAACCGCAGGATACGCCCAATCCAGACTCATCCGCAGGCCCAGCAGAAGTAGATCAGCCCGAACCGGCAATACCACCAAGTTCTATGGGTGTAGAACCAAGTGCGGTTGATGTTCCTGTGCCTGATGAGGATGAGCAGTTTTGTGTAACCGAGTCCCAGACTCATTCCCTGTGTGATGCTTTCGCCTGTGAAATCTCGCTGGACGTCCGTCCAGAGGACATCACAGACACTCCCATGTGCTTGTGGCCCATCCTTGAGGAGTGCTGTCATGTCGAAGTGCCAAGAGCGAAGCAAAGGAGAGTCGAGGTAAGCTTCCGCAAGCTCTCACCTAGTGAAAAGCCCTTGTTCTTAGCAGCCATGCAAAAAGAGTGGAACTCTTGGATCGAGAATAAGGTAACCTCCACTTGCAGACTTGGAAGAAATCCTCAGACCCCGATGATAAGACTCGAACCCCGAAAGCTCGCCTTGTGCTCATCGGGTGGCAAGACCCAGAGCTTGGAAGGATTGCCGCTGATGCTCCCACATTGCGTAAGGAGAGTCGCAGTCTAATCCTTTCTGTGTGTGCCGCAAAGAGTTGGAAACTGTGGGGTGCTGACATTAAGACAGCTTTCTTGTCAGGAGACCCATCGTGCAGAAATGTGTACTTCAGGCCACCTCCCGAAATCAAGGAGTGGATGAACCTTGATAGTCGTGATTTGATGCGCCTCGAAAAAGCAGCCTACGGGCTAGCTGAAGCCCCGAGAGCCTGGTTCCTCAGGCTTACCCGAGAACTTCGTGCCGCTGGACTGACCCCGTCAGAGCTTGACCCTTGCATTTATTACCTTCGTAAGGGTAATACCTTGTTGGGAATCTGTGGTATTCATGTTGACGATATCATAGGTGGAGGATCCCCTCAGATGGATGCTGTCCTCACCCAACTTCGTAAGAAACTTCCCTTTGGTGATTATCGGACCTTCACGATTCGATATACGGGAGTTGAGATCAGACAGGATCCCCAGTCGTATGTAATCGAAGTAGGTCAGGAGGCATACATAGATGCCATGGAGCCTGTGCACACCAAACCTCTCGGGAATGCCAGTACTCCGTTGCGTGATCCTCGAATGCTTAAAGCCTGTGCTGGACAGCTCGCATGGGTAGCAAATAGCACCCGACCCGATCAGTCGTTTCTTGCTTCGTACCTGCAGGGCGTTCAAGATAAGGGGACTGTATCCCATGTCACCTTGTATAATAAGGCCTTGCGTGAAATGAAGGAGCAGAAAATTGCCTTGATGTATCCAAGCCACGTTCCGATTGATCGCTGGTGCATTGTGTGCATTTCTGATGCCGGTTGGGGTACACGCGAAAGCGGAGAATCGCAAGGAGGGTACTTGTTGTGTCTTGCAGACAAACTGATCTTGGAGCAGAAACAGGCCCCCTGCTGGGTAGTTGATTGGTATTCGAAGAAGCTTAGAAGAGTTGTGCGTTCTTCTGTTGCCGCGGAGACCTGGCCGAAGTCCTGCATGGTACCTCACCACGTGCTTTCCGAGACCAGAAGCCAAAACAGGCTGCTGCCATTGTCGTGGACTCCAAGGGATTCTATGATGCAGTTACCAGATCCTGCTGCAGTCAGGCTGTTTCAGTTGAGCGTCGCCTCATGATAGATTATGCAATCGCACGAGAGACCATGTCAAATCAGAATGTTGTTCCTTTCTGGGTGAATAACTTGGTAATGTGTGCTGATGCACTGACTAAACTCAAAGGTGAAAAAGAGATGCTTAGAAACTTGATCAGCAGTGGAAAATATTGCATCAAGAAGTGTAAGGAGTCGGGTCGTAAGGAGAAGGCTCGACAAGAGGCCCAGAATTAAAATTGTTTTCCTTGCATCCGAAGTTCAATTGCCGTACGGTAGTGCAATTGTGTGGGAAGCGCACCCTGCGCTTGTGTATATCGTGTTGATATTTGTATAGCACCATCAGGCTATCTCATTGTGTACTCTGTGAGCCAACTCGCTCTCTGTGCCCTTTCGCTCTCTGTGCCCTTGATGCTTGATAGTGATTTCCATTTTGTGTAGTGCCATGTCTGCCAGTGATGCTCCCCGAGCAAAAATGGTCAAGGGTTATGTGCATGACCACTCCATCCAGCCGCTCACGGCGGCCGGGTTTGTGCCCAGCTTGTGGAGGCATGCAATGACCTTGGTTGTGAAGTTACCTTCTCGAGTGGCTCATGGCCGACATCGAACCTGTCTGGCATGAGCGATGCCTCAAAGCGCCTCCGCGACCCAGTGCTCACCAGTGTGCCCGCTGATGAAGACAGCTTTGAGTTGGCCGACTTCCCGGACGAACCGCAGCCGTCCAGTAGCAAGTCGATCGCGCCAAACGAGAAGGATCCATGGGTGAATGCCAGCCGCCCCCTGCCTGAGGGAGTGAAGAGCTCAGCCCAGTGGGGCCGCACGCTTGTCACCATGCCGAAGTAGCTGCTCAGACAGATCCTGAGGTCAGCAAGTACCTTGCTTGGATCAAGAACACGTACAAGAAGAAGGGTAGCACCCAGGCATTCGACTTGGCAGAGTACCTTAGGTTTACCTCGTGGGAGCCTGAACCACAGGGCACCTTTCCGAGGACCTTTAAGTAAGCTGGTGGCGGCAATCTGATCGAGGGTGTGTGAAACATGCCATCATGTCATGGATTGGATCATCCGCTGCCACCAGGGCCCTTGAGCCGCTCGCCGGCTAGGACAAAACATAGAGTGCTCCCGCGCTCGATCATATAGTCCCCCCCCCCCACATTCAGGCGTACAACCAACAAACACGGGAAAGTCGTGTAGTTTCGCAAATGCTGAGAGCAGAACCTTGGCGAAGGGTTTCCTCTGGCTTCCTGGATTCCTTCCCCTTGAGGGGAAGTTTGGTTCGGTGTCCCGAGTTCCATGGCAACGTGGATTCGAGAAGCAACCTGCCCGCCTGGGAGGCACAATTGCCTAAGGAAAAGTTTTGTCTTATGCGCAAGCCAGGCTGTGTTGTTCAAAATCAAGCCTGGCCTTCGTCCTTATGCCGGGTGGTGGGTTTCCCTTGTAGTCGCTTCCCTTGTTGGTGGACGGGAAATAACACATAAACATTTTGATCCTCCCGAGGATCATGGGGCCGTTCCTACGGGGCGTGGCCAAGTGCGAGCCCCTCAAGGCGGGCGCTCGGAGCCTTTCTTGGGCCTGCTGTTAAGGCCATCGGGCCATTGGAGAAACGCAGAGGTCAAATCTGCCTGTGAAGAGATCCCGGTTTCCTCTTGGAGTTGTGGCAGACCCTCTCTTCAAGGTCTGGAGCCCATCCCGTTCAATCCCAAAAAGTGGCGGCAACCTTTTCTGATTGCGGAGCCAACGGAAGCGAGTCTGCGCTCAGGTGCTGGTTTTTGCTTTTGCCAGTCTTCCGGACCAAAATCCGGCAGGACGGCCAGCTCTGGAAGGCTCTGTTCCTCTCGGGCCTGGTGCTCGGTGGCCTTGTGGTGTGGGCCTTCAACAAGGACCGGAGCTTGCGATCTGTGGAGGGGCGACCAGAAAGACTCCCATTTCAGGTCCTCGACATGTCCGTGCCCCAAGGGAAATAGCACAGGGGCATCCCCTTGATGCGCATCCCCTTGTGGAGCCGCTGAAGGCCCCGCAAATCGGGGTTCTCGGAGGAAGGCACCCCGTCCCCTCACCATCTTCACATAAGGGCGTGTCATGTTTCTGAGGGCTCCCCTCTGGGGAAGCCAAAAAGAAGCCACCACTGCGGGGATGGCAAAAAAACTAGGGTTCACATTTTGACCATTCGCATGCACTTCTTGGGTCGCCCAGGTCTTGTTGCCCAGGGAATCCCCTATACTCAATGATGCGAGTTGAGCACTTTGCTGAAGGGCCACCCCTTTGGTCTGCCAGAGTTTTGCTTTGGCATGGGACTATTCTTTGTGGATGCACATTGACCTACACGTGAATTCAGGGGTGAGGATTGTCGTAAATGGACCGATAGTGTTGATTGAGAACCAGAAAACCGCTTCAGGGGTTGTCAAACGTAAACCGTGACTTTTTGGGCAGCCGTGTGGGTAGCCGACTCAAAGATGCCAAGGACAATACAAAGGAAACTTCGTGGAAGAATTGACAAAAGGTAAATCGGAGACCCGTATATTCCCCTTTGTAAGGGATTGTCCATGGCCATTTTTTGGACGGTTTCCTGAAATGGCACTGCGCTTACAGAGTTCCCTTGAGGTCGTACCCCTCAATTTGCCGGCATCAAACGCTACCCATTCAGCCCTTCTGTGTGATAAAATGACGAATTCCGAAAGACCCTCATTTTTGGAGGGCTACGACCTGAATGTCGCTGGAAGCTGTGGTTTACCCTCAGCAAAGTCAAGGTGCTCCCTCGAATTCCAGAGGCTTCAATGGATGCAATTTTATCTCCCTAGTTGAAACATCAAACCCGGACTTCTTTGGGTTCCCCTTTGGTTGGGTTGCAAAGGAAAACCCAGAGGAACCCTTTGTGGGAGATCCTCACTATTCTTGAGGGCCCCCATTTTTCCTTTGGTGCATTTTGCTTGGATGTTAGGACTTTAACTTTTTGCCAACTAATGGGTTTTCCATTAAACCACTAGAAGGTAAACCTTTAGTAGGGGGGCAGAAAGCAACCGAGTTTTGTTTGTGGGTACCCATTACTTTGGCACACCCCGCTTCTTTGTGCCCAGGACTTCTCCTTCCCCGCGGCGCCCGCCTACCCGTTCTGGCGCTGGATTCTGGCAGGCGGGGACCTCGGGCGAAGCTTGAGGGAGCCCCATTGAAAGGGAAGAGAAGTAATTCCAGTAGACCGTGGACCCATTGTTTTCGTGTATCTGTGTTTCTGTGTTTCTGCGCGTTTCAGCGCGTTTCTGCGTGTTTCGGTGTGTTTCGGTGTGTTTCTTTGTCTTTTGCTTTTGGGTGCTGTGTTTGTGCTTTTGCGTGCTTGTGGTTGTTTGCGTGCTTGTGCTTGCTTGCGCGTTTGTTTCTGTGTATCCGAGTTTGTGTGTTTCTGTGTGTTTCCGCGTGTGTTTTGTATGCTTGTGCTTTTGCGTGAAGGACATGAGCCAATCCGAGCCCCTATTATCCGGGCATGAATGGCCCTTGGCCAGAGTGAATTTCCGATTCGTGTGAGGAACCTCTCAGAAGGGGGCCCCTTTCTGTCCGCTGAATGGTCATTCACCTGTCAGGAAAAAACTGACACGCGACCCACATGAACTCAGTCCACCGTACTGCTGATGGTTAGGGGTGGTTGTGGAGGGGAGGCCTGGGGTCCAATTCGAAAAAGGGCTTGGCCGCGGCCCTGAAAAGGCGCCAACCACTTGCTTGAACATGCTTGCGCTATTGTTCAAGCAACCCTTGAAGCCTTTTTTTGACAACCACACCCACTTTTGGCTTCCCTTCAAAGATAAGCTTGGCATATTTTCCCCGCTCACCGCCCACCCTCCACACCGGCCGGGCCCATCCGACGCCGCCTGGACAATTCTCAGGCGTCCTGGTGGGTGTCGGCACGCGGATCGGCAAGGGCTGCACCTCCGGCCACGGCATCTGCGGCATGCCCCGCTTCTCCCTGCGCTCCTGGAGCCCATGGGCGGTTTTTTAGGGCGAAAGAAGGGGGGCGGGTTGAAGGTTACAGGGGGCCATTTACGGGACAAGCGCAGGATGAAAGAAAGTATCACCCCCCAAAAAAAGAAGAGGAAGAAGCGCATGCATTTGTGCCAAATACTTTTTGTTTTTACGATGCTTTTACCATCCTCCTTTTTTTTTGCGGGTACCTTGGTAGGCGTTCAACAGACCTCGGGTGCATGTGCAACCTGCGGGGCAACGTGTTGCAGCACGAATCTCTTGACCCGCTTTTGCCGGAAAGGCACACCCTCAGTCGTACATAAGGGGGATCCGTTGCCCAGTAGCTTCAACAGCCCCAGACCTCCAGCAGTAACTTGTTCCATGTTGGCTCTTATCCCCCGGAGGGGTTTTCCGGTTTTCCAGTTTTCCTTTGATTTTGACGAGGAAGCAAACGGAGTGTCCCTTTTTCCAATGGGCAGTGGAGGTTGTGGAAGTCCTCCAAAAGGCCGGCTGCGCTAGGTCCACCGGTCCGTGTCCAAAGGTTTGCTCGAGTTAGCATCCCCCAAGCTCCTTGGAGCTTTTCAGCTGGTCACCAGCTAATTGGCCGCGACTGCTTTTACTGTGGCAGCCCGGGATTTGGTGAATATAGAATGTGCTGGACGGATCGACCCGGAAACGTGTAAGCACATGACGGATTTTCCCCCCACCCGCCTCTCCCACCCCCCCCCTCCCACCCCCCTTCCCACCCCCCTCCCCCCCACCCTCCCACCCCCCTCCCACCACCCTCCCACCCCCCTCCCACCACCCTCCCACCCCCCTCCCCCCGATCGGCGACAGCTCGGCAGGATTGCAGTGCCAGTTTTCATGGCTGCGGCGGCCAGTGTGGTGGCGATCACTCGCCACGGGCTCCAGGAGGAGACAAACAACCTCCTGCGCCTGGGGCGTGCCAGCAAAAGGGTGATGTGAATTAAACCAGCCTGAAAACGGTACGCGCACACCTACAGACCCATACACATATGTATGTATATATAAATTTAAATGTATATATATATATATATCATACTGTGGATGGACGAAATCCTGCACCAACAGAGACCCTGGAATGATGATTTCCCTGCAAATACCAACAAATCATGGTTTCCCACGGTTTCTTAGGTGGGGCAGGATTTCGTCCATCCACAGTTTGTACATATATATATATATATATATGTATTATTAGTGTTGTGTGTCGATCTCCGCAGACAACACGACACTGCTTTGAGAGGGGCGGCATCGTGGGTGCGTCTGTTGGCATGGTTTTAAAGGACCGCCAAATGAACAAACAAAACTAGAGACAAACCCATCCGGTGGACCATGCCAATCCTAGGAATGGCCCCGAACATGAATCCATTCCTCACTGAAAAGGGGGTCACCACACCTGATTACTACGGTCCTCCAGATGTCTTGTGACATTCATCAAATCAGTTCCCCCCCCCAAGGCCTCAGTATTTTGCGCCTTCCAATTGACTCACCGGCGCCATTTCCCGAGTTTGACCACATCGGAAACAACATCCTGTGGTTGAGAAGGCAGTAAGATTAAATTTTCATTGTCCTACAAAGGAGTTCGAATCCAGCGTTCACGATATCAGTGACCCCTGGTTTCTCAATCTGGCCGGCAAATAGGGGCGTGCCCCAAAAGTGAAGTATCATCTTGACCACGGCATGAAAAGCTGGCGAAGAATTGAATGCGGGGCGTTCCCTAAGTTTCTGGGTAAATCAAGTCAAGGCCTCACGGACGGGTTTTGGTCAGCGACGGCCACGGGATGATCGCTTCTTTCATAGATGTTTCTCTGGGCTGGAGACTTTTCTAGTTCCAGATATGTCCACAGTCGGCATAGCTCGATTTCTCCATCACAACCCATGGTCAATTTGCCAAAAAGCCAGGAGTTCACACCAGGGCGGGCATTTACGATACTTTCAGACTTTGCATCAAGATTGTTTGTTACACCTTGGTATTGCACCTGGGAAATTGGGCGATTTCAAAGAAACGCCAACATCGGGTCGATCAGAAGCAACATGACCGCGCACGCGAGGTACCAGCAACAGGTGGCGGAGCTGATGTGGCCGCCAAGGCCGCTCGGGGCGCAAAGACAAGAGATGGGTGTGTGTGTGTGTGTCTTTTTTGGATTTGGTACCCGTTTTGGGTTCGTTTTCAAGGGAAACCAAAAGGACAAGCGAAGTCCATGTTGGGCGTCCAGATCCCTATTTTGAGACAGACTCACGGCCCCCCTTGTAAAAATAAGCTCAGGTGATATTTTTTTGAACAGCATGCCGAGCTGTTTTTAGTGCTCGCACCACCCCGCAGCCCTTGCAAAACCTCGTGGAACCCTGGTGGGGAACCCTGGTGGAACCCTGGTGGAACCTTACCTCAGGGCCGCCCCAGACCACCCGGAGCCTATCTGGGCTGAGACCCCAAAGCTTTCAGCTGTTGGGGAATCAAAACAATAAAAAAACGAGGTTGGCTGAACAAGAGTGGTTGCATTGAACATGTTGAACTAGCGCCAGCCCACCCTGCTTAGAGAGCCTCGAGATTAATATGGAACCTACAAACCATCATTTTTCGTGGAGCCTCCTTCCCTTTCCATGTTAGTTTGCTCGGGGAGTTGCTGCGGCACGGAAATCTGCAGCCAAAAGCCATGGCAAGCTTTGCCTAAGGCTCTTGTTTGCATCATTTCCTTAGCTCTCAGGTGACTCACTTTGTAATGGGCTCCTCTACCCAGCCAGCCAACAAACCAACACACCAACGAACGAACATGGGAAACAACGGAAGCCAAAGCCCCCTTTGGGGCCTCAAACACACCACCTCGCCAAACTAGACCAAATGTGGGATCGGTGTATTTGGTGTCTGAGACACACACTCTGCAAAAAGCACCAGGTAAGTGGTTCCTCAACCGGATCATTGGGATCATTGGGATCAGAATGACTCCTCCCCCTGCCATTGGGGAATCGTGGGATCCTTGAAGAATGGCCCCTCCCATACTTGTTGCAGTCGACGGATGCTCGGGTCAATCGGCACCTGCCATTGTGAATCCCAAGAGATCGCAACACAAACCTTCAGCTTGGGAAAACCGAGGTGGGAGTTCCCTGTGGGCGCCCTGGTCACATCCCTGGCACTGCTGGCGCTGGCGACCCTATTGCCTCACAAGATCCGGAGGCTTCGGTGAGTTGGAACCCACCTGTGAATGGTTCTCTGCCTAGGTCCCCCAGCTAGGTGCCCTTCTCTCCTCTTTTTTGAAAAAGGGTTTCCCTACTAAAATAGGCAAAATAAGAAAAAGCGTGGCAGGCGCGGCAAACACGTACTTCCGCCCCAGCTTCATGCTCCATACCCCCTTCATGGAGCGCGGCGACGTTTCCTGGTTATATACTGCTATCATCAACACAACCCTAAATCGCCAGCTCCAAGCAAACCTAAACCCTAGAAGCCCTACACCTAAACCCTTGGAACCCTCAAAATCAAACCCTCAAGACCCTAAACCTAAACCCTAAAAACGTAAACCCAAACCCGAAGAACCCTAAACCTGCCAATACGATCATACAGCATAATAAGACCTTGTGGGCAACACGTATGTTTTGTGGGTACCCTTATTCTAACCTCTCTTCTGGAGGACCTAGCTGCCGATTTTTTCTGGCGAGCTTAGCGTCCGATTGGGGGTAAAACGAGATCGAAAGCCATGGTAAAGATCCTTTACTTGCAGATCGACATATGGTAAAATTTGTAGAATGTTTGCAAAGTCCACGGCGATCGGCACTTGATATGGATGAAACTCTGCGAAATTGGTTTTTGTCCATCAGTGCTGGTGTCACTACTTTGACTGGGGTTATCAAAGTCAGCAGCTGGGGTTGCTTCCCTTTTCCCTACCACTTCCGCTGCGACCTTGATGATAGTCAAAGAAAGGCCAGTACGAGTGTATTTGTTTGGGACGGTCCCAACCCCTAGCACATGCGGCGATTTCGGCCGTTCACGCCCTTGCGCTTTAGGTGTATGTGGTTGGGAATGATCGCATTGGGCAAACTTTGTGCCAAGCAGCTCGGGTTTTTTAGAAGTCCCCCAACGAACCAGAAGCCGAAAGGATGTTAAGTACCCCCCCCCCAATTTGAATGGAGCACATACCCTGCGGAAATTCTCTGGGACCTGAAGAGTTATTACCATGGACGGGGCACCAACTCTCGAGTTTCTTGCATTTAGGGAACCAACGCGACACCACTAATGAAAGGGGGGGGGGAATTCCCTCAAAAAAGACAACGCCATATGGATGTACGCGGATGTGGGTGTCGGTGTTCTTGTGAGGGCACCTTTTAGGGTCGTCTGCTGGGAAACTAAAGCACGCACCATGTTTTTGTTGGCTCCATATCCGATTTTTAAGACCAGTTATGCTACCTGGATGTGCTGGAACCGCCTGCTTTGAGGGTGCCCGTGCCCCCTTTTTTGGGGTGGGTTTTTCAATTTGGAGGTTTCGCAGGGAAGCTCTCCTTTTGGGGGGGGTTTTCTACCGAACAACCCGCGGGCAACCCATGAAAGGGAGGTGTTCGGTTTTCGCCGGCCAGGTTCTTGGGTGGGTTTTGCAAGAGATGTTGCCACACAAGAGGTCGGTTTTTGCCCGCGAGGTTCTTGTCCCCTCTCTTCTCCGGGCTGATCTTCGCTATGGGCCTCGGCGCCTCAGGCATGACCTCCCAGATGAAGGCGAATGCAACCCGCGGGGAGGGGGGGGGGGAGGAAGGGGCGAGCTGGTTGGGTGGGGGTGGCTTGGTTTGGGTCTGGTTGGGTCGGGTTGGGTTGGGTTGGTGTTTGTGTCTTATGTTGGTTGGGGTGGTGGTGGTTGAGCCGTTTGCCATGGTTCTGGGTTCTGGGTTTGAGGGTTGTGAGGTTGTGGGTTTCAGCTTTGGAAGGCCTCGGGATTCAGAACTTGGCACGTCGCTGCGGGGCTCAAAAGTTCGGTCGGTGTGACCCCCCTCTTGGAGGTAATGGATAACGGGGTGTCTTTTTTTGATGACACCGTTCTTGGGGTTGGTTTACATGGACACCAAAGGGAAGCTGGGCCATTTTTGGCGGTTGACCCCCAACAAAAGGCGCATCTAAAAAGGGCGCCAAGGCAAGCTCCGGCCCTTGCTTTGGGGTCTTGGACTGCCCAAACTGGGCGCAAGGCCCGAGCTGACCTTCAGGGGTCCAGGACCCACCGAGTGTCAGAGGGAATTCCAAAACGGGCACCGTCGGAGCTCTCGAAATCCCGAAACGCGGGTGGTCGCAATCTTCTCGAACTTGCCCGGATCCGTCGTGTAACAGCCAGAGGATCCTTGCCAGCCATGGCGGCAACTGGACTTGGGTTCCCTTTCGAAGGCGCAGGAATTGGGACACGTGGTCTTCCCATGGTCAAAGTCCTCATGGTCTGAGCAACATCTCGATGATCAAACCGCACGGGCACGGGTAGAGTATGGGTTTGGTTTCCACTGAATCTCCTTCAAGGCACACAATTCTACCAATATGCCGAGGTCGAACGGCACTCCTGAAAGACATGCCCAGCTTTAGACGGGCGTCTATTTTTTTTTGGAAATTGTCTACATCTGAAACGCTGCATGCGCACATGCCCGAGTAGATTTGTGCCACAACCGCCTCTCTGATCGCATTGTTCGATGCAGCTGGGCCAACAGGTTGCGGTCTGAGCCCATTTCTTGGACGGTTGGGCCAGGGGATTGTTGAGTGAATGGCAAGTCTGATTTTCGGACCAGCCAAGAAAATCGACCGGCCCTGTCCCCATTCCCCATTTACCTATGATCTGTTTTTGCCTTGCGGGGTCCAAGCGAGAAGGTTTGAGTCGCAGTTGTCGGCAGGTGATCAACTTTTTGGACTTCGCTGGCTACTGGGACCCCTCGCTCGCCTTTGTCATGGGCCTCGGCATTTGCGCGCCCGGACAACCGACGGGGGTCGCATTGGGGGTTTTGCATTGGTTTACCCCCAAACCACTCCCAACTCATAACCGTAGCAAAGATCAAGAAACCCCTGGTTGATGTAGATCGGACATTGCACAGATGGGAGGGGACCTGGATACTTTCGGCGGAAGTTCATTTCTCTACCGTATTTCTTGTTTTTTCAGAGTCAGCATGACCTCAACTTCTCATCCGAACGACCGTGCCAATCATAGGGCATTTCTCTACCAATCTGAGGGTTTTGGAGCTTGTGGAGCCCTCCCACACGCCCAGCAGCTTGTGCGTCCTTGGAGAACCAGCTGTTCAGTGACACCAGTTTTCATGAGGGGCTAGGCATGTAAGAGGGGCACTGACTGAGGCACCATGCGGGCAATCCGTGGCACTAACATGTGTGCCATAGGGCTTGAAACAAGAGTTGCTGAGCCTGTCAACTTCAGATTGCTTTTTCTGGAGGACCATACGGACAACGTTTTTTTTCTATCCCCTGGAAGCAGCTAATTTCAAGGAATTCCTCGGGACGGGTGGTTTCCTGAATATCGCACGTGAACTAGTTATCCACTCACAAAAACAAACAGTAAATTGCGGTTTTGTGTCGGCTTCCTCCCGGCTTGGGCGGGTTCAAACCAAATTGTGCCTATTGGCATGATCTTAAGTTGTTGAGCCCTTTGGCAGACATAGGAATCTCCCCAACAGATGCCTCACGGGTTGCCCCCTGCGCCCCTTGCAATATTTGTTGTTTTCCCGAAAGCATGGCGAAGGGTTCTTCCGTTGGGTTGATGGGAGTTATCATCATGAGAGTCATTGCAAAGAGTTATCATCATCAGAGTCATTGCACAGAGTCATCATCATCATGAGAGTCATTGCACAGAGACATAGAACAGAGACATAGCACAGAGTCATTGCACAGAGTCATTTGCACAGAGCCGTTGCACAGAGTCATTGCACAGAGAGTCACTTGCGAGGCGCAATGCTCGTGAGAGTCACTGGCGAGGAGCAACGCTCGTGAGAGTCACTGGCGAGGAGCAATGCTCATGAGAGTCACTTGCGAGGAGCAATGCTCGTGAGAGTCACTGGCGAGGAGCCATGCTCATGAGAGTTCTCATGAGAGGAGTTTTAAATTCCTTTCTTCTCTTCTTAGGGCGGCGAGGTAGGGTCGACAGCACTTTACAAAAATCAACCCTCTGCGGAGATCGGCGTTGTCGACGTTAAAACATTGAGGACTTTCTGCGATTTCTGATGTGTGCGCGCGCCCCTCTGCGGAGATCGGCGTAGTTGATGCTAAAGAAGCTGGGGACTTTTTGCGATTTCTGATCTGCGCGCGCGACCCTTTGTGGAGATCGGCGTGGTCGATGTTAAAGAAGCTGAGGAAGGTTTGGGATTTCTGATCTGTGCGCCCTCTGCGGAGATCGGCGTGGTCGATGTTAAAGAAGCTGAGGACCTTGCGCGATTTCTGATCTGTGCACGTGACCCTCTGCGAAGATCCGCGTGGTCGATGCAAAAACACTGGGGGACTTTTTACGATTTCTGCGGTGCGCACGCGACCGTCTGCGGAGATCCGCGTGGTCAATGTTAAAAAAACTGGGATTTTTTGTTTTTCGATTTCTGCGGTGCGCACGCGACCGTCTGCGGAGATCCTTTTTCATGACTGTTAATCTGTGTGCGCGACCCTCTGCGCAGATTGGCGTGGTCGACGTTTAAAAACTGGGGACTTTTTTTAAACGATTTTCAGCATTCCCGTGCGACCCTCTGAGCAGATCGGCGTGGTCGAAGCGCCGTGCGAATTTGCAACGTGCCCAATGAACCCTCTGCGGGGATCGTGCGTGTCGAAGCGCTCTCGCTGTTGCTTGCGAACTGGTCTTTGGAAGTTGTCGCGCGGTTTGCGCGGCTGCTCTCGGAGTCGCACGGTCGTGGGTTCGATCCCCCGCCTGGTCCGCGGCAGCTTTTCTAGACAGAAATCGCAACTTTTAAGTGCAAACGGACGCAGCTCCGGCTGCAAAATCACAACTTTTAATTACAAATGTAGTACGCGGAGTACAGTCCGGCTGCATAATGATACTTTTCAAGTAGAAAACTAGTATGCGAAGTACTTCCCGAAAGCTCCGGCAGAACTTGCGCAGAGCAACTTGCAGCACAGAGCGCTTACGCAGAGCAACCTGCACAAAGCAACTTCCGTCGGGCCCTTGCACAGAGCAGCTGGCACAGCGCAACTTGGGCAGAGCAAAAGTCAGGTGTTCCGTTGGGAGAATTATTATCATGAGAGTCATTGCACAGAGTCATCATGAGAGTCATTTGCGTTGTAGTCACCGTGTGAGGGGGGTCCAACAGGTGGCAAGATGGCAGGAACAAGGTTAGTTGCTGGGACTTGTCGTTGTGTATTGCTCGTGACCAGGTCAGGTTTTGCGAATCTGTGGCAGTGCTATCTCAGCATCGGCTCAAGCGCATATCGTGGAACGCGAAGTAACTAGACTCCAGGCAGGCGCGGCTCGTCATGGCCTGCCGTGGCTTGAAGGGGGAAATCGCAGCCAAGCGCAAGAAGAGAAGGACATGGTCTGGGGCCTGCTTGCCGCGAAGCCGGAGGTCGCGAGCAACAAGCGAAAGTGAAGTGCTCCTCTTCTTCCAGAGTAGAGGAAACGCCTTCGAAAGTGAAGTGCTCCTCTTGCTGTAGCTGATGGCTGTTTGTAGCTGACAGACTGCACATCGAGCAAAAAACTTGCGCGGGAATGATCACGGGGCTGTGATGCTTTCGGGCCAACCGTGGTCTAGTTTTCTTTCAGCGGGGAGAGGGGGAAATGTGAGTTTCTCCCTGTATGTTCCCTACAACGGAGGGTCAAGAGTTTCCGAACCCAAATAGCTAAATATATACATATATCCAACGAAGACTGTTTTCGAGGCCTCCTTCCCCGCCTTCTTCCTGGCAGATCGACCAGGCAAAGAGGGCGCCGCGCGGACGCCGCTGGCGGAGAACTGCACCTTCGAGCGCCCCCCGCGCTTCGGGAACTATTGGCCGCTCATCGGAGGCCCCGGTCACGGTTTTTGACATCGGTGCGGCTGGGCTGGTTGACTCTGAGCAAAAAGACGTGGCCCTGGAAGGACGGACGCGCGCACACACACAAACACATCATTTGGGCCATTGAACTCACCCCATAAGAGTGAGGCGATAACCTTTGAGGGAATTTTGAGGGTCCATAGGTGTCCTTTTGATCGGTGAGTTTGGTTAGAAATGGATGGGTTCCACTGGTTTAGAGCGGTGATTACCCATGTACCAGGGCCATTCGTTTCCCCCAAGGACATCTATGACAGGGTCCCTCAAAGGACACAAATTTAGGCCCAGAGCCTCCAGCGACCACTATAGGTAACTGGAAAAAGCCATCCATGGTTAAAACCTAGAGGTAAGCTACCACAGTGGTAACTGAAAGGACCGGGCCATTTAACCCAACATGTATCATATCCATCCACAATATGTTTCATGATTTTAGGTTGGCAACAGATGTTTCCGGAGATTCTGGAAGCGCATGGTCTGGAGAGTATGCGTTACTGAAGGAGTACTTCATAAGCTGCGCATGGCGAATTCCCTTAAGAACCAGACCCAAACACCGTACGTCAATATCTGATTAAATCAGTGTGTTGTCCACCGTTTTCATTTTAGGCTCGGTTACACTTACAAGTAGTCTATGGTAGATTTGAGAAGTACACGGGGGGGCTCTATCTATCTCTCTCTCTCTCTCTCTCTCTCTAAGTTTCCCACGCAAACCAGGGGGGCAGCACAAACTCTCTCACGTTCTTTGGAGCAAACCTCTTGGCAATTTCGACCGCGGGGTCCGTTTGAGGCGCGGTCTGCTTCGGCGTGGGCTGGGGCCTGCTGGGCCTCTGCCCGGGGCCAGCCCTGGTAGGCTTCCTCCCGCCACCCGGCCGAGTCGAGAGTCGAGTTCGGGCCCAAGGGAGGCGCCGATGGCTCACTTCCTGACGTGAGTCCGCTTGGAGGTCGCTATGCGAGGGACTGTGTGTCTTTCGTTTCCTGTTGGCTTCCCTGAAAAACACACTCCAAAAGTTGCCGCATTGACAAACACCTTGAACCTTTGCGGGCATTTGGTTTCCCTCCGAACAATACCCAAGCAGATACCATCCCTAAGAACGAGGTTTGGGACTTGAAACTTTTCGGGAAGGGCCATATAAAAAGTGGCGAAGAACCAGTGCGGACCTTGGTTTGCTGGACATTTTGGTAGGAGGGTCAGTTTGTTTTTTGAGGTCTTCTTCTGGATATTTTGGTTCTGTAACTATGTTCACTGGAGGGCTGCAAGAGAGTTCTTATTTGTTTTGCTCATATACCAGGGCTTACAAGCGCTGTTATTCAGGTGACTTTGGCGGGTATTTTCGCAACAGAGTTGTGCAGCGGATTCCACCTTTTGCCACAATTTCTGTGAAAAGTGGGGACGCAACTCTCACTCTAAAAAAGGGGCTAACCAAACGCGGAATCAACCTCAGATAATTCTGGTATTCCTTTTTGTTCTCGGGTCACGTGTGGTTTGCTTCTCTGGAGTACTTGTTCCAAGATATGGCCATTGGGCAGAACCTATGGCTCCATTTTGGGGTGGATGAACATCCATTTGCCACCTATTTTGATGTTCACCGGAGGTACAGGGTTTTGACCCACAGCCATATTGAGCTCTGAAACATCTGGGCCGGTAAGACTTCAGCCGAATGGACTGACGCAGCCTTCCCAAGTCAGGAGACTGGCGGTAGCTCGATCGGAGTATCCCCATAGGAACCTTCTCAAGCCTTCGTGAACTTGCCAACCAAAACCTAAAACGCAGGAACTAGGCCATAGCTTTCGGGAAAATGATCGGCAAAAAAGAGAAACACATTCTCTGACAATTTAATTTGGGTGAGTAGTACCACCCCCCACAGCCCCACCATCCAGGCCGTTGTAGTGCCCATTTTGGGAGAACCAAAGAGAGAAACCGTCACCAACCAAGCCAAACACTGCAAAGAATGGCTTTCTAGTGTGTCCCTCTAATATCAAGCCAATGGGGTTTCTGCCAAACAGGTCCCTAAGGTGGGTCCGACCAAACAACATCGGGTGAGGTATGCCTTAATGGCCGGGATTGATGAGCACGTGCCCAACGTGGGCTTTGCGGGCGCCACGCTGTGCATCCCAATCGCCTGGCTGGCCACGGACAAGATCATTGCGCTGCTTGGAACCCAAAAACGGCTCAGCTTCCCTGGGCTCGGATTGGTTGGGTGGGTAGCTTCCGATAGAGGCAATAGGTGCTGAACTGCGATTCCAGCGGGCACCAGAGGATGTATTTCTTGTTCCGCACACGAAAGAAGCCCATGTCGAAACGGGTCAGTTGAGCCATGGTTTGGTGATGCTTTTGGTCTTGTACTCCCGATTCACATAGAACCAAACATCAACACCGGTTTCTTCCTCACTTCCTTGGTTTAGCCTCTCACGCCTCAGAGATCTGCCCTTTGGATTTGTTTACATGGTTTAGGGTCCTCCCCTTTGCCGGTTTGTGGTTGTGACTCCTTGGTTTGGAGGTAGCTTCCTATTTGGTTTGTGGTTATCCTGTTGGGTAGCTTCCTGGTCGGGGCTGCGATTTAGGGTAAGGTGAGCCTTTGGTTGGGAATGACTTGAAAAGGGCCCGAACCGATCCGTCCGTGGTCTGCTTGAAAACAAATTCCATGCCACCAGTTTTGGTTTGGAGTCTCGGTTTGTTGCATTTCTTGCTGTATCTTCCATAAGGGTTAGTCCAACAGACCAGATGCTGCTTCACTTGAGCAGGGCTGCTTCCATCCATTCCTCAAAATCATCAAACCACCTTTGGGCAAATGGTTTCCTGTGGTTTCCTTCCATCGGGGGCCAGTTTTCATTTTTCCCGCCGTTTCCCCGGTTTCCTGAAGCACTGCCCAGAGTTTGCTTTGGAACCGTTTTGGGGGGTTGGGTTTACTCATACCCAGTTTAGGGAGACGCAGTTTGGACCCTGCCCCCGTGGGATCACCGACCCAGTCTCGGGTCACTGGCAAGCGATCTCGGGTCAACGGGTCCAAGATGTTCTGGGCCTCACATTCCGTGTCTCACTTCCTGAGTTCATGAACTTTAAACTTTTTGGGAAGACCGTTTTAGTGGTAAAAATAAAGTTTGGGACTTTTTTTGGGCCATCTACTCAGCCAGTGAGGTGTTGATCCACCAGGTTGAAAATTCCGGGCGCCACTCTCCCAGCCCTTCAAACTCAATCAAAGCTCAGTGGCTTGGATGGTGTCTTTCACCACGACAAAGCACTCCGCCAAGCTCCAGACCATGGGGCTGCTTATAAGGTATGCATCCATCAGCCCGAGTGCTACAGTGTAAACAGAGTTGGAATCGGAGTGTGTCTCTCTTGAGGGTGCCTTTCTGTGGGCTCTGAACTATGCTTTTTGAGGGCTCTCAAATCCGATGTGGAGTGAAACCCTGCTGAACTCCACAGAACTCATACCTCGAGAACGCTCGGGCCTGGCAAGTCACTAGCCCCAGGTAGCGTCTCTATCTTGAAGCCTTCAGCCAATCCCCGCCAAAGGTAGCCCTTCTGCCGGGCCGCCGGGCCTCGGAAGGATGGTCACCGATTTGTGGTTGGATCCCTCTGTTTAAAGGCGGCTGGTGGGTACGAGGGAAACACTTTACGGAAGGGTGGGAGCCCCCAAAATTGGGCATTGCCCCGTGAATGATCATTTGGTAGAAGGAAACACATGTGTGGAGGAGAAGGGGTAGCATAATCTAGAGAAAAAAGGAAAATACGTAAAAACAATGCAGAAAATAAAAAGATATATAGATTTACATACAGATTGGAGGGAGGGGCGCAAAAAGACGTAGGACGTGCTTCCAAGAAACCACGGGCCGCCTAGGTACATGGGCCAGTCGACTGTGGTCAAGGTCGACACACCCAAGGATCCCCAGAAGGCGACGCCTGAGCCGGTGAAGGACCGGTTATCGCCTGAGCCAGGGGTTCAAATCCCCAAACCACCCAACCCAAACTGCCAAGGGTACCCTGGGCCATGGAACAAGATCCCAAAAAACATCGACCAGCTCGTTGGCTGCGAGGCGTGTCGGATTTTTTGAGGTAGCCCTTTTGGGGTTGGTTCAAAGGAATCCGAATGGACACCACCTCTGGAGCGCTTCTGTTTTTCAGGAGGATAGCAACGCAGCTTTTTTTGGGACGGGTTTCCTTTGAGTGGGTTGTTAGTCGTTACTCTTTCTCTCAGATGGGCCTCCCTTGTAGTATTGTCCCACTACGGATTGCTTACTCATCGAGTTTTGACACCCAAACCAAACACCATTTTGGACATGTCACACGATGGCTTGACCAAACAAGCGCATGTCTGCAACTAGCTTGTTGGCTTGCTGCGGCTTTGCGCCTTTACTCAGCGAACCCACTCGCAGAGTTTTAGCGCGCGCGCGCTGTGTGTTGTCCCGGCCAGGTGATGGAAGCGCTCTGAGGGTCCAGCGTTGGGAACTAAACTCGTTTTGAACAATCGTCAAGGTGCCTTGATGAGTCGAGTCTAGTTGGACCCATCAGTCGCTTGATAAGTCGTGTTCTTAGGAAAGTGTGCCCCTCAGGGTTCGCTGGGACACTGTTCGTCGGCTTGTTCTTTCAGCTTTGCATTTGCTGTTTGAGGACATTTGGCGTTCACCTGTTGACTGGTGTTTTTCTGACAGCGTTCTGCGTTTAGGGTCTTGCACGGACCCACGCTAGGCTGCTCAGATCTAGTTCCTCCCACGCGACATGCCTACCAGGCGAGCGACGGCGCCCAAGCGACGGCATGAGCACGGCCCGACGGGCCGAGGCCAGGCTCCTTTGGGTGTGAAGTCTGTTGACCGAGGCAGTTATCAGGGGTCTGTATGTCCCTCCTTGGCGGTTTTAAACATTTCTGGGTGGGGGGTGATGCTTTAAGAGGAAATCTAGGGAGCCCTGATGACGCTTTAAGGGCTTTCTTGGGTCTCCTCCAAAATGATATGTTCTAAATTCTGCGGACTAAGTATGAAACGGAATTAGTGGCCAAGCATTGGCCTAACCTATGAGGGGGTCAAAGGAAAATACTGGACCCCGCAAAATGGGGTATCCTACAAAAAGGACACACCACATATGTATGTTTAAGAATGAAAAATAACATTGACTTGAGGAGCACTTGCAGAGGTCTTGACACATCCGGGGTTGGGCACATGCACCTGTCACACCCCGTGTCCGGGCAAATCAACCCGTACCATGAATTTGGGAAGGGCAGGTCGCCCACTTTGGCGCCCGTTGTGTTGTTTGAGGATACCCTTTTTGAACATTTTGGGCTTTTTCCCAAAAGGAAAAAAGGAGAACACATAGAATCGTGGTGGTTGCGCATGTGCTACCCATTTTGGTTTTCCCACCCGTAGGTTCGGCTTCCTGAGCCGGTGTTCTTCGCCTCCAACGAGGCTCCTCACTCAGGCCTGAAAGAGCAAGTTCAACAAAGAAACAGCAAGTTTGGACTTGTTGGGAGTGATTCATTGGCGGACTGATTTTGCGCCGCGCAAACCTGTGCTTGGGGGCTGTTCATGGGTACCATGACTGGAGTTACTCCCGGTTGTAGCGGCCGCCCCCCTTGGATCCAAAAGGACGCCAACAGGAAACCAACGTTGCCCGGGCTTCCCGACTTGGACCCTTGGGAATATTTTTTGAGAGTACCTTCAACATGAAATCAACAGGAACCCGCCCATTTGGGGGTCCACCATTCTGAGACCATCCCATGAGTTTTGCCATCCCAACTGGTCGGAACAAGAATAACACGAAGCCCACCTTTCTGGCCCCTCAAAACGTGCCGATTTCGTCCCTTTGTGCCTCGCACGCTAGCCGTTTTCCGCCCAAGCCCGCCAGATTGCAGGGTGTCATTTGCGTCCAACTTGTGTCAACAACTTTTTTCCATTTCTCGTGGAGTACCTGGAGTCCACAGTGTCAAACATTCGCTGAAGAATTGCCAACATCACTTTCCCGTGGTCAACATTGCTTTCCCATCGTGGCTCGAGTGCGTTTCATGGCAAGACTTCCACCTCCCGTTCGAAGTATATAGCCCCCTGTTGTCGTTTCACGACAACCAGCCGCCGCAGGGTAGCTTGGGGAATGCCCTGCCAATATTTTCGCAGTCAGCCGCCGGCACAATCTGGTGCCATCAACAGAGTCCTTGAAAGCTCATACAAGTGGCCCTTGACCCTTGAGGATTTTTTGGGATACAAGGGAAACCGAGGACCCGGAGCCAAATTTTGGGGAAGCCCGATGCCTTCCTCTGAACAGAAGCCATGCCCGAAGTTTGCCAAGCTTCGGGTTCTCCAGGCCGCGATTGTTTGGATTGAGCGGGCCGTTTTTTTTGACCTTCCCCGGTGAAGAAGGTATGTCCGAGAAGCCCAGGTTGCCGGAGGGAGTGGGGATTTTTGTCTTTTCCCTCATTGACGGGTTCCTCTCACCGGCGGCAGGCCCTGAGTGAGAGGCGAGTTCCGGCCAAGCCCGTCAACATCCCCCCCACCATGTGCACAGGCCCCTTTTAGATGACGAGTGCACCGGAGAAAAACATATATATATATAATATCACGTCCAACTTTTGAAAGACGATTGTCCTCTTGGGAAAAGGGGCCGACTCGTGCATTTTTCAGTTTTGGTGGGAGGGTACCCCTCCGGTTGCTTCCGCCGACGTTGCAGTGACAGCAACTGGGGAGTACATTTGCCCTCTGCAATTGCCTTGGACCGCCATCTTGACTTCTGGGTTGTTCAATGCCACCGTTTGACTCCTTTTTTGCAGCTCGCGCACACCGTAGCAAACCACCGACCCTAGCAGCCTCCTTTGTTCCTAGTAAATTGCCAGCGCACTGGCTTTTCTTTTTGAGGCCCTGGCGGCCCTGGCTACCAGGAAACTCAGCTCTGGCATTCAACTTTGATTCTTTGTTTGGACGTCTTCCTACTATTCTTGGAAGGCGTGTTTTCTCCTTGCTTATTTGGTTCTGTTTCGTTTCAGTGGGGCTACAAGGAAGCTGGTTTGCCAGGGGTTGGGAAGTTCCTTTCTCGCGCATGTCGCAAAAAGCACTAGGTGCGCCCGTGTTGCAAGGAAACGTTCACTTTGGGGGGCCGCCCGCTAATTCTGGCGCAAGGTTTATTTCTGGGGCTGACCTTAGACTAAGTATCTCTTGCAGTTGTTTTGGAAACATGCGGGTATGCCCTTTGCAAGGAACACAACGACCATGTTTATGGTTGTTTCAAAGGGAAACTAAACGAAAACTTCCAGATTCAGCGGGGTGTCCAAGAGCAACTTCACTGGGGCGGGCCATCACGTTCCCGCCCTCTTGCTGGTGCATTTTCCGTGTGGCCGTTGCTGGGGTCGGCGCGCAGAATGCGCTCGCTGGCATATGTTGGTGTGTAACCCACTTAGCCAGTAGGTTAGAGCCATAGTTACGAGGGATGCACCCCCCCCATGTCCCATGTATACAACCATGTTGGAAAGCTACGAGGCTTGAAGATCGAAGTAGGATAATGAGGTCATGCCTCCCCCCTTGACTCAGTGCCATTTGCACCGTTTTGGACTACTTAAGAAAAGCCATTCTTTCTGGTGATCCCAGATTGAATCAAGGGCCTTTCAAATGGAAGTGAGCCAGGGGTTTCTTGCAGCATTGTTTAAGTCGAGCTTCACACACACCCGAACGGAATGGGGGCTTAAGTGGAAGATCCCTCGAAAGTAGAACGTTCCGAAAGGGAAGCAATCAAGTTCTTAGTACTCCAAAATCAACATGTGCGTGTTTGTTTCGTGGGTAGCTTTTTTTGGGTTGCTTTAAACGAAAACTGAAGGGAATCCAGCCGATGTGGGAATTTTGGAGGGGCTTCCCCAATTTGGAGTTGCTGAAATCTGTTTTGCATTGGGCTCAAGAATGACGCAACCAGCAATCCTTGAAGATCATTCGAAGCTCGTGATTGAAGCTTAAGCGGCATTCCCAATCCTAGGGCTTTCGCCACCAGCTGCGCTTCTTCGGCCAAAGGGATGCTCGCCCAGCCTCCCTCGCAGCAAAAGCCAAATGTCCAGCATCCCCTCTCAACCCCACAAAACCCAAGGGAAAACCAACCAAAACGCACGACATTTGCGTTTTCCACATATGGCTTAAAACCAACCAAAAAGCACGGCATTTGCGATGTTTTTTTTTTTTTTTCTCCCACACATGCCTTTCGTGGGAGTTTGGCGCACGACGTGTGAGGAACTCTTGAGGAATTGTTTTAAACGTAGCCTTGGCATAGCTGCCAGATTGCAGGGAGAATCAAATTCGTGAGAAACCTGCTTCAGGCGCCTTTTTGTAGTTCCACCTTGGCCTGCGCAATTAATGTTTTGGTTGCTGACAGAGTGTATCTGCTCGGGGAGAACTCAACACTCGAGTCAAACCAAGCTGCTTTTTGCAGCGCCCACACGAGCTGCCAAGGAGCGGGCCGTTCAACGACATACACATACGGATCTCATGAAACACCAAAACCCATCATTTATACTGAAAGAAAACACAACGCACACACACACACACACGCAACGCCAAAACAACCCTCCTACATATCAACATGAATCTTGCTTTGGGGGGACGTATCGATTTGGACCTGAATGAATTGCCCAGAGCTCCCCAAACCAGAACCCACCCCCAGAGTGTAACTCTGGGTGTGTCACACGGAACCTGCAAATGCGGGTCAGGGCAAAGCAACGGCCAGACGAAACTGCTCCTTCGCATGGCTGGATCAATCCAGCCGCGACGTATTGCGTGATCCTGCGGCGCCGAAATGATCCGCCAGACCGTGACCTTGGCTTTTGCCACACGTGCGGAGACTTTCTAAATGTCCCACAAAGCAAGGGTTTGGGTGAATTTCCCATGTGGCTCACATATAAGCACAGAGGGTTTTATGCTTGTCAAGGACTCTCTGCAGAGGAGATTTGTGAATAGGAGTTCATAAATCTACATCTTCCCAAACTGCAAACGCATACACGCGCACACATGAAAGGAAACAAACAACAACAAACAAACAAAACAAACAAACACGCAAGCAAGCAAGCAAGCAAGCAAGCAAGCAAGCAAACAAGCAAGCAAGCAAGCAAACAAACAAGCAAGCAAGCAAGCAAGTGAGCGAGCGAGCCAGCCAGCCAGCCAGCAAGCGACCAAGAAAGACAAGCAACAAGCAGGCATGCAGGCAAGAAGCAACCGAGCGAGCGAGCAAGCAAGCAATCACGCAGGCCGACGAACAGACGCACAGTCAAACAGACCAACAGACAGTCAAGCAGACAGACAAACAGGCATTGACGGAACGTTTTGAATTTGAGGAGCTGCCAATCTCGTTGAAAAGGCAAACAAAACACCAGCCGAATGGACGCTTTCTGTCTTGCAGATCTCTTTTGGTCCCCTCTCCCAACGAGTGGCCCATACAACTTCGGCCATGGACATGACCATTTGCTTCAGGTGGGTTGTGACACCAGCAATGGGCGATTGCATGGTTTGACTGACTCCTTTAAGGAATTCCCAAGGGTGCTTGAACACTTTCAGGGGGTTCTTCGCTTTTGCCTGTCAAACAGCGGAGCTTTACTGGCCGTGTGATATCAAAGCTCGAGATGTTAGGGCCACAGAGTTGCCCACCAGTTGCCCACCCTTACTGGTGTCAACGTTGTGTGGATTCCGACGTTCGAATTCCACTCTGTTCGGTGGAAAGGGCTTCGTTTAACTACCAGGGTCACTGGGGAACTGAGCCCAACCACTGGAAGTCTAGTTGCATCCAAGCATCTGTGAGAAGGGCCACTGGGGCACTTGAAGAAAACACACATCCGCTGTTCGCCCCGGCGAGTGCTACGGACCGGTTTTCGCCAAGGTGAGGCAGTCAAAAGCCGAACCCTTAGTATCCCCCCAGGGTTTTGCAAACATGTCAGCCATCCCTCGTTTTTCATGGTCAAAGCCCGAAACGTCCGGCGGACGTGAACGAAGCGCTGCATATCTTCGAGCACCTGCTGGGCGCTGCCGACCCGCTCGGCCCAGCGGCCCCAGCGGGTGATCATCGCCTTGCGGCGAAAAACCGGCCTCGCGCGGCGCGGGGAAGCGTCTGACTTTATATTTTTCCAGCATTTGGCAAACACACAGCCAGACTGGACTTCTTGTTGGCAATCCATCCAGTAAGCAAGTTCAAGTAATGTTGACTTTGGATTACTCACCCTGCAGGGTACATCTTTCCATATTCCCCTCCAATTGCGACTGCATCTGGTTTTTAAGTTCCCCCAAAGTTCCAACATGCAAGGTTTCTTCCATTTCCGCTTTTGTAGCCTCCAAAAGTGGGCAGTTTTAGTGGACACCAGACCAGTAAACTGCGTTTGTTTGAAAGGGGAACTCCGGCGAACCCTTATCTTTGGTACATTTTGCTTGGATGTTAGGACTTTGACTTTTTGCCAACGAATGGGTTTTCCATTAAACCACTAAAAGTTAAACTTTTAGCAGGGGAGCAGAAAGCAACCGAGTCATATCATTTGCAGGGGTCCACGGCCGACACGGCGCGACCAACCAAAACCCTTCAGGAGGTCTCCTGCGAGACGCGCGGGGCTCAGCGAGAATATGGTCAGCTCACACGGGTGTGACTCAAAACTTTTTCAGAGGCCGGGGTGTAGTCGGCTTTTCCATGTTTGCAGGGCAACCCATGTTGGCCCCCATTGTTGAGCCGCATGTTTTCAAGAGAGCCACAATCAACACCTAGTATTTTATGCAGCTCCTGTGGCAGTCTGGTTGGGACTGTTCCCTGCAAGCCTTCATCTACACAGGTTTTCCTTGTTCATCCAGGAGAATCAAGAGCTGTGAGCCAAATAAGTGTCTCGACAAAGCAACGCAAACTATGCCGCTATATTCTGTTGGTTTCCGGTTGCAATCAACGCGGGAGCTTGGGGCTCATCCCTGTTCGCAGGGTAAGGGAATCCCAGGGTTTCGGGCTTCGTGTTGGGGCAAGATTAGGTGACTCAAAGCCAGAGGCATCACGAGATAGCTTGAATCTTCACCAGTCACACTAAGAAAGCTGCGAGATCCTGGTCTGCACAAGACTCCAGTAGGATGATGGTGTCTGATTTGTCCGGTACCATGTGCTGTGCCGGCCGCCGGGGGATGCGTAGACATGCCGTCCTCTGGGGCAATGTGGTCCGGGGCCAATATGGGTGTGCCGTCCTCTTGGGCACTGCAGTTTTTCAATGGAGAGAGGGAGGGCCATGCCTCAAAGACCCCTTGCTGCAGGGTTGGTTGTCATGGCCGGTGTGTTTTCTGTGCGTGGTTGTATGGAGGGTGCTTTAGGCGTTCCACGCACGGGTTACTTTTTTTCATTCTTTATTTGATTGATTGGTTGACAGTGGCGCCCGTTGTTCTTGTGTTCTCCGACGGGTTTCGCACTCGAGATGACGCTGAAGAGAACAAGAATCACAAAGACGGTGCCAATCCTTTCGTCAAATTGCAGCTGGATTGTTTGATCTACCTGTCCTGGCCTTTTGCAGTGTACCTCATTGGAGGGTGTTCAAAGAAGTGGTGATATGAGGCACGATGCATCAGTTCATGATTTACTGTTGTACACTGCACCTGGGCCCCCTACTCCAACTACTCCGCTGCAGATCAACGCGAGCAACCGCGAAATCCACGCCTTTTTGGGTTCTAGGCTAGTTTGCGGTGGAACAAAAGGGGCCAAGCATCCCACACGACACCCTTGATGACTTTTTTCTTGAAGAGCTTAGCGAAGCACCTTCCGGCTCGCCGTGCTCGCTAGGTTCAACAACTACTTCCAGAAGTCCTATGCCGCTCGTGGCCTAAAGACGACACGTCGCGGTTCATTTCAGGTAATGTTGACCCAGGAGTAATAAGCCCGTCCCACTATTAGGGGGGTGTTCCCTCCAAAAGTGATGAATCCCCACTAAAAGGGGACACCCCCCCAGCAGTTTATTAATCCGGGGTTAACATTATCCCAATCTCTGGACCTTTTGGACCCAGCCTCAGGGCACCCAAGCTTTGGTAGGCTTCTGAGGAACCTGGTGCCTGGGGGTTGATCAATATTCCCCTCAGCCCCCAGTTTTGAACATGTGTAGCTTTTCCCACGTGGGAAATATCATCTAGTGGTTTCCCCCAATGGTCATCCCATGTCTTTCGGACCTTTTGATCAATTTCTGCAAATCTCCCTTGACCAATAGCTTGCCATTTGTGAGAGGAACCTGTTCGCCGGGTGTGGCGTTTCTTTTTCTTTCTTTTTTTCTTATTCTTTTCTTCTTTTTCTTTCACTATGCCAGGGGGCTCGTCCAAACTTCACCCTTCCGTAGTTCGGTTCCACATATTCCGACTGGACAGATTTTAGATGACCGTCCTCTCATCCAGGTGGTTTCAAAATGAACCCGTGCACCCTTAGCCTAACAATGGCTGTTTTCCAGTGGCGCTGACCTCAAAGTATCCTTTCAGGTGGTTGGTTCCATTGGCATTCCTTTGGTTTCCTTTGAAGCCCTAAACAAGTCACCCGGGCAGTCGCGGATTCGCTTGGGACCTGCCGAATTTGGCTTTGGCTCAGTGCGATAGGGCTCTGGGCTGAAGCACGCCTGGCCGGCAACAACCCAGAAAAACAAAAGCATTGGCGCAGCATTGGCCACTTGCTAGATGGCGGGGGGAAAAAACCATGTGGGTCACTGACTGGGCGGTGTCCTGAAAGAGGCCGAGAAAAGAAAATCATGGCACCAGCAAGGTTTGATGAGAAACCGTTTCCAGTGGAACAAAAGTAGAGGGCCAAAGAGTTGGCACACGAAAGGCTTGTCTGTCTCAACAGCGGCTTGCCTGATGTCGGGCTCATTCCTGCGAAGCAGTCAGGAGGCACGTTTTGGGGGTGCCAAAACGGGTTGATGGGAGAGGAAGTGGCCAGCCGAAATGACCAGTGATTTTTGGAGCACCCTCACAAATGGCAGGTGGACACAAACATCGGAAGACCACCATGTTCGACTGAACTTCCTGTGAGTCACTGTCAAAATATGCGCAGATCAGTATAAATTTGCAGAACGCCTCGCAGAACGATAGGGCCCCCACCAAAAACGATAACTACATAAACACCTCTTTGACGAAGACCTGCGATTTTGACGGTAGCTCACAATATGCAAATGTTGCAAGTAGACTAAGTCAAGACAGACCCAGACCAGGGTAAGTGAGGAGAGGGAGGGGGGAACGATTCTATGAACGAAGGTTGATTCGTCCTTCATCTGTCGCACTGCTTCAAGAGGAAATTCTCGCTCGATGCCCCGTTACCACCATCTGGGGGTGTCTTTTGTGGCAGAGCTGTTTTGTTCTTTGCTGCCCCAGTCAGCGGCCTCAGGAGGGAGTGCGTTGCAACCCCTCTATTTGGCCCAACGCTGGCATCTTGTAGCTCAGCCCTTCACGAGAAAGAGGGTCAACGTTTGGTAGCATCTCATTGCCCTAAAAGGATACTAAACAAATGGCATGTTACATCCTTGTCCTTCAATGAGGGGGAAAGGATTTTAGTTCCAGGCGAATTGGGTTGCATGGTGCTTGATGGTCCTGGGCCGAAGGCGGCCCTTGTGTACTGCTCCAAAAACGGCACAAACCAAGTTTTCGCGGACAAGACAGACCTGAATCGGGTCGAATATGGAGAAACACGAGTAAGTAATAATTATATTGGTAGCCCAATGCAGGTGTGGAACTGCATGTGCTCGCAGAAACCAGGGTGGCAGCTCCAATTGTCGGGCTTCAGTTTCCCTCAGCACAAGCAAATAGTGTACGTGGAAGCTCTCAAAGGACAACTGGCGAACAGTTTGTCCGAAGCACCGCATAGCTTCTGCGTCGCCGATCTTACGCTTGATGGCAAAGGCTGAAACAGATACATGCATATACATACATTCTATGCTATATTGCGTCGTAACAGGGCCTACCTCCAATCAGTCAAGGCTTATTGTCGAGTCAGAGGCTTCAAACCGCATAGCCCCGTGTGCATACGGGCATGGTGCACGTCTGACAGATTGAAGGGCAGGGTACTTAGAAAGTGGTTGGTGGACACGAACCATACGAATTGGAATTACACCCCTGGCAAGCAAAGGAGGCTATGGCCCAACCCGCCGCGGGGGAGGTTCATTGGATGAACCTTGGAACCTGACAAACGCTCATCAAGATAATGAGCTCTTGTGGGGGTGCTGGTCTTGGGTTCGTTTAGGCACTCTGATGCACGCGCGGCGCAGAGTTGGAGCCATCTCTAGCGTGCAGGAGCGCTCCGTCCATGCCAGCCCGGGCCGCGCAGAAGGGGCAGATGGGTGGTTCTCTCGGTTTTTTTTTGTTTTTTTCTCCTCCCGGTTGGTGCGCGTTGTGTGGTCATTTCCAAACCGATGTTAAAAGGAAAGCTATACAGCTATCGTGTCAGGGGTGTTCTGGAGGATGTTCTTTTTGCCTGAAGCTCCCTTTTGGTTGGTTTTGAAGGAACCGCATTTGAGTGCTTCCATATCCTATTTTGAGATCCAAGATTCGATGGTGGTTTCTGGATGGACAATAAGTTTGTCGCAAAATGTAATATGGAGGCCGTGACGTGGGTCAAAACGATTCCCTCAAAACATCATATCCAGATGTAGCCAGTTGAAAGGCAACGCAGCAGGCCAGGGAACCCACCAGCGAGCCTGACTTGCAAGGTGGCCTTCGGGCCGCGAAAAGGGGGGGATTCCTTCCTGATGCAGATTCTCATCCAGTCTTTGTGTCGTGGGCTGGGACCGCGTGGTTTTCACCGCGCATGGAATGGGCGTTTCTCGAAATTTCGACTCCCTCGAAACGACTCCTGTGATCTTCGCTTCGAAATCCGCGGCTCGTCCTTCGCGTTTGGAGCTTAGGCCCCCGGCGGTCCCTGTACTCTCTGGGCCGCAAGGAGGAAACCAGCGTGGCACCCAGGGAAAATGGCTACGCCTCGATGCGCAGGAACCGGTTCCGTGAAACTTTTCCCTTTCGGGTGGCTTCAAGTGGCTTTTTCCCCTTTTTCGAGGTGCTTCCTGTGGCCGATGTGTTTTTTTCTATATATTTTTCTGGGAAATACAAGTTGACGCCTGTTCATCCTGATCGCTCGAGTGTCTGGACTTTCTGGGAAGAAGATTCCAAGTGGCCAACAACTTTGGACTTTTCCTTGCTAGCTCCTCGGGGCCCAAAGGTTCAATCCACTCAAGTGAGGAATGCAAGTGGAGTAGTTGGTTGTTTGCTTGCTTGTTAGTTTGTTTGTTTGGTTGTTGGTTTGTTTCTTCGTTTGTTCGTTCGTTTGTTTGTCTGCTTGTTCGTTCGTTTGTGTGTTTGTTTGTTTGATTGATTGAGTGTTTGTTTGTTTGCTCGTTTGCCTGCTTGTTTTACTTTTGTGTTTGTTTGTTTGTTTGCTCGTTTGCCTGCTTGTTTTACTTTTGTGTTTGTTTTTTTGTTTGCTTGTTTGTTTGCTTGTTGGTTTGTTTGTTTGTTTGTTTCTTTGTTTGCTCATGTGTTTGCTTTGCGTTGCTTTGCGTTGCTTTGCTTTGCGTTGCTTTGCTTTGCTTTGGTTTTTCTTGCTGGTATGTTTGTCTATTTCTTTACTTTTCCTTTTTCGTTTCTTTGCTTTTGCTTTGCTTTGCTTTGCTTTGCTTTGCTTGCTTGTTGCTTTTGTTTGTTTTGTTTACGCGTGTCTTTCTTGTTTGTGTATTCCTTTGAGGGTTCCCTTGGAGTTTCAGAGCAGCGTGGAGGAAGAACCGCCCCCACGTCGGAGTTTTTGAGCCGGAGGCGTCATGGACGGCTTTGATTTCAGCACCCTCGAGGAGATGGACCCATCCCTTGCCGAAGGCCGGGGATTTCGGGCGCTGAAACCGGGGCGAAAAAACGGGGGTCCGGGGGGGGGTGAAGTTGAAAACCTTTGAGACATTCTGGGTGGAGGTTGCTACTTGGTGCCCCTCAGTGGGTGCCAAAGTCAGTCTCAAAGCGTTTGGATGAGCAAGCTGCGACTTGGGGTTTCTGTTCTGGTAAGCCCGCTAAGGACATGAGGAAAGCGCAGTCTATGATCCGTTTGTATGGAAACAACCAAAGCCGGGTCACCCAGGGAAGGTTGGTCGAACCTGCTTACAAGGGTTCTTAGAAAGAATCTGTCTGAGAACCGTTCTGGTAGATAAGGGGGCCATAATGATTGACACCATCCCCGTCACCACCATCATCACCATCACCATCACCATCACCATCACATTCACCATCACCATCACCATCATCAACACCCAAGCAATTATCATCACCGTCACAGTCATCATCACCATCACATTCACCATCACCATCACCATCACCATCACCATCACCATCACCATCACCATCACCATCATCAACACCCAAGCAATTATCATCACCGTCACAGTCATCATCACCATCACCATCACCATCATCATCATCATCATCAGCATCAGCATCGGCATCATCAGCATCAGCATCATCATCATCATCATCATCATCATATCATCATCATCATCATCATCATCATCATCATCATCATCATCATCATCATCATCATCATCATCATCATCACCATCACCATCACCATCACCATCACCATCACCATCACCATCACCATCACCATCACCATCACCATCACCATCACCATCACCACCATCACCATCACCATCACCATCACCATCACCATCACCATCACCATCACCATCACCATCACCATCACCATCACCATCACCATCACCATCACCATCACCATCACCATCACCACCATCATCAACACCAAAACCAAAACCATCATCATAACCGTCGTCATCATCACCATCACCACCAGCAT